GAACTTTTGTTTGTCATGCAGCTGTTAACGGCCCTGTCAGGACAAAAGTTGGAAACACTAATGCAGTTTCACAGAACATAGTGCTTTGCCAGAATTCCCTTATAGTGCAGTTAAACAAGCTTTGATGTAGGGGTATCACAAATATGCTGCCGCAAATGCTTAAAAGTAAGTATTGTGTTCTAGCACGATTATGGGCTTTCATTAACCATCAATCAGAGAAGCTGGAGAAAAGGAGATTGCTAACCAGCAGCTGGGAATCAACTTTCAAAAACAAGACCCTTTACACAAATGCTTAAAGGAATATGAAAAATTCTTTTTCAGAATCAAATTCTTAAAGCAATTATGTAGATACTGATATATTTACAATCATAAAAGAACCTTTCAGAAAGTTGGGATAGACAAAATTACAGATAATTGATCATTTAGTTTGTGTCGTAAAAAGATCAGGCATGAATATGCAAGATGACCTTTTCCTTAAATCAAAGGGAAATATCTTTAAAGATATTCCCTAGTAAGAGCATGGTTTGCTAGACATTTTGGAATTGCTTCAGGGGAGATGTTTTGACACAGCTTTGCATTTGATCCCTATATTTCTGTATATTTATATATTTTGGATGTTTTATCTGTGGCTGGTCTTTTGTATCTATCTATCTATCTATCTATCTATCTATCTATCTATCTATCTATCTATCTATCTATCTATCTATCTATCTATCTATCTATCTATCTATCTATCTCCACATTATTCTTTTTGTTTTCCTTTGACACATATGCACATATTTTCACCTCTTTATTTTTCATTGCAGAATGATGTACAGTTTTAGCAAACGACGGGAAGCCAAATTAAATTTATAAGTTATCTGGGGCCACATTTTATTTCTAAGCCAAAAGCAAAATGGTAGACCAAAATAATTTAGCTTAAAAGCTCGTGGTGCCAGTAAGGAAAATTTAAGAGAAACATGTCAGCCTTTTAGAAAAAGAGGAAACCATACAGAGAAACCATTGAACAGTGGGATCCCAGAAAGAGTAGATTAAATCCCAGAGCCTGAAGTTCCTGACACTAAGTTAAGCCTTTCTCACATGTTCTGGGAACACATGAAGAGCGGAAATTAGGACTGCTTTTTTTTTTTTAACCAGCCTCAGCTTCCATAAAATCCCCTATTGTTACACGAAATAAATCAACACAGCTTATTCTATCATGCTATTAAAAAAAATAACTTTCAAAATCTTTCAATTTAGGGTCTCTAGTTATTTGTTTCCATAGTTGCATTAAACAAAAGGCATATGGTCAGAAGAACAGGAGTATGCAATACAGAAATAAATTCTCTCAGGAGTCTTTCTTAGCAGAAGAAATGTTGCAAGAAAGCTGGCAAATAGCTGAGAGTGATAACATGTTGATTGGACCAAGAATAAGGGGAGAAGGAACAGGCCTGGAACATCCATTTATCTATATCTGTCTATCTTCCTCTATATATCTAGTTGCCTCATCTCTTGTGCCTTATATTTGGAAAGGAATATGACTATTAGAGGAAGCAAGGTGTCCATTTCTGGCATGAATTATATTTATTTGAGGATCATAGTAGCCCACACTGAAGTGCTTTCTTCTTTCTATGATATTCTAGGATTTAATATACAGGATATGGGGGATAAGGCAAGGCAGTTTTTATCTATGTAGGCAGACATGGGCACTAGGTAAAACATGCAGACCAAAATCCTGTAGCATAAATTATGCCCAAGGCTGATGATATCACCAGTAAGGAGAGATTGCCAGTAATTAAAAAGTCCCTCCTCTGATGTGAGAGCTCACATAACTCCCCCACAATCATTCTCATGTTAGGTGAGTTGTGCAAATGCAAAGATTATAGCAGGAACTCTTTAATTACTGGTAATCTTGTACTGCTGGCAATGAGATTACTTTGGGCTCACCCAACATGTCTTTGGTGAGAATGACTACAGATGATTCATATGAGCCTCAAACAAGTAACACTTTAAATACAAGCTATCTCCCCCTGCCATGGATATCATTGCCCTTACACATATTTTAGGCTACATGAATTTTGGCTAAAGAATGCTGCAATTTTATTGGCTTTAGGATTAGAAAGAGATAGCTCTCAAGGGTGTGTCATAATAGTAATAATATGTATCGTCATTGAACATATATGCACCGTATACAAATACAATGAAATTCACAAAGAATACTCAGAGACCAGACCAAAACACACCCATCCTCATAACAATCCTAAAACTCAGAACCCCGCCTAAGAGTACACATATCCACACAACAAACACTACAGACCAAGTATATACAGTAGTAATATAGTCCAACAACTCACTGCTGGTGATTCTTAAGTTCCTTGTTAAGTTCAATTATAGCTCTAGGATAAAAGCTGTTCAAAAAGTGTGTCATCCGAGTTTTAATTGCTCTGTATCTTTTGTCATGAATCCATCACAATACCATTACATCATCCCAGAAAAAGAAAATACATAAGCAGGCAGAGCATTCCAGAGAGTCAGAGCAGGTAAACAGTCACAGGAAACAGCAACCATTATTTGTTTGAACCTCCTTGCTGGAAAACAAAACAGCTGAGTAAATTTCTTTTATAATTTTAATGTTTTTTACTGTTCTTATTTTACAAAGTACAACAACAAAAAAAGTATCTGACTTCATCCCCAATCCATGCCTTTCTCTCCAGCATTTTCCTCAAGGATGAACTTGATAGCCTACAACGATGACTACCCCAGCATGTTTCCATGGGCAAGCAGGGAAGCATGCAAAGAAGAGAAGGTAGGAGCTTCTCTTACTTCTTTCTTGCACACCTTCTCTGTGCACTGTAATAGGGCAGATCCAGTCTGTGGTGCTACTGAAAGAGTGAGGATGGAGACAATGCAGTTACCTCTTTCTAAACACACACCTCTGTTTCTGGGTAGCACACAAATCATGGGATGAGGAACTATCTACTCACAAGAATTAACTCAATGTTGTGAATTTCTTCTGGATGACTCCAAGTCCTATGCTTTTTGCCATTCATGAGAGAAAGAGGTTGAGTGCTAGGAGGCAGCAGCTGTTTCCACAAGAAAGGTGATGTTTTCATGGCCATCCTGACTCACCAACATAATTTTAATTTTGCCTTCCATTGGTAGCCCTTAGTGTTTCCCCATCATTTTCAGTGTCTTTTTTTCTTACCTACTGAGATATCTAGCAGGCAGAGAAAGACAAAATAACTGCATGAAGCCTTCTGATTGATAACACTGGGAGCTGTCCATCTGGAAGCACTCTTGCTTGGCTAACTTCTCTCAGTAGGGGATGAAATAGGGAAGCACTAGGCTTCACATGGCCATCTGTAGGAAGTGAATGAACAAAAGGAGGCAGTGGAGGCTGCTTTTCCTCTGCCTCTTCACTCATACTCTGTCCTTATGTGGTGAAAAGAATCGTGAGTGCTGCTACTCTATTCAGAAATTACATGCAAGTGTGATAAAATGAAGTAGCTGCATCTCCAGCAACGAGTTCTTTACGTTGCACTGCTGGAAGAGCAAGGGGCTCTTATGGGCTGAACAAGAGGTACACCTCACATCCCCATGGCATTTTTAAACTCCCCCTCACAGCTCAGATAATTGCCAGTGCTATAGGGTAAGCAAGCAAGCTGGGGGGGGGGGTTCCTGATTCTCCCAGCGGTGGTGTCGAAAGAGTTAAAAAAGAGGAAAGAACAGGAAACGGATGGGAAACATGCACCCACCCCTCTTGATATTGCTGGACCATGACTCCCCTCATCCCTCAATATTAGCTGTGCTGGCTGGAACTGAAGGGAAGTGGGAGTCCAACGACATCTGGAAGACCACCCTCACCTCCATGGGTGAGGGGAGGAGCCTTAGCTTTCTTTGCTTTGCAGATTCCCAGCTCAGGAGGCAGCAGGAATGTGGTAAATATGGGGTGCTGTGGGGCGTCATGGCTGAGGGCTCCTTCCCTCTTAATGTCTTTCCCCCAACTAAAGAGGCACGAGAAAGGCTGGACTTTGGACTGGTCGGACCTCATCCCGCCATCATGCCACTAAACTTAGAACGAGCGAGAGAGCGCGCGAGCGAGCCTTGGTGGTGCGAGAGGATGAGGCAGCTGTTTCTGCAACACATCGGTAGCCACCACTTGTCCGCCTCTCCTCATTGGGTCCGCTCTTTCCCCCTAAGGAGCACCTCGCCTTTCCCCCCAAATGCACGCCGAAAGAAAAAGTCATGCCTACTCAGGCTCTCCCTGCCACGCTAAGTCGATGCCTCCGCCGGAGAGAATCTCCCCGGCGTCCTAACCCCTGACGAGAAAGCACTACACCTCGGCCCGTCAGAAAGAGAGCGAGCGAAAGAGAGCGCGCGCTTCTGCCTCCTGCTCTCTTTCTCTCTCTCTCATTCTCTTCCAGAGCTGCGGACCGAAAGGACTCCAGCAGCCGACTGGGACAGCGGTAGCGTG